TTTTGTTTACAATTTTTATTAACAACATGGCAAAAAAAAACAATAAGTGTTTGAGATCACAAAGGAGATCTAAGATCTCAGATCTTTATCATCCTTGATCGACTAAACGTTCGCCGGGGCGGGGGCGGCGAGTTAGGAGTGCCGCAAACAATTATTTTCTTCTTTAAAAGCAAATACACAAAGAGGAGCTAAAAATTTTTTTAGGGGATTGTTTTGTTCTAATGTGAAGACGTACCACGATAGTCATAGCGAAGGTCAGGAAAACATATAGAGCGACTCTGTCGCCGTGGTTTTCGGTAATGTTAGTGTTTGAATATCTGTTTAAATCAATCGCCATCGTGCCTGAAATAAAGTGGTATTTTGTAAAATGGATATAGAGTTAGAACACACAATAGATAGATATGATAACGTGTGCTCACGTTATACACATACATACACGAATAAATATTTTACATGTTTATTCATATTAAACCGTGAACAAAAGTAACAATTCATTCAGTTCATTCTCCCATCCGACCGCGACCGCTTTCGCCTGAAAGGAATACGAGTTTCTGAAGCAATTCATGACTAGATTTCGCAACGCTAAATTATTGAAATTGAGGAGATAAGATGAGTTGCAGTCAAAAAATGAATTAAAGAAGTGTTTTTCATGGAAAATTTGGAAGCAAGGTGATCTCCCCGCTTGATCCCCTCTTGTGTATAAGGGGGTTCGCTTCCCCTCCCCACGGGGGATCCCTTCGCCGATATTGTCTGCGCGCATACGGGGGTTCGCCTGGGGAGGGGAGGGGAACCCCAGCGGGGATCATTCCAATAGTAAAACGCACATCCCGTCCCCGCGGGGATGTACGTGCATACGGGCCTTAGTGATTATAAGAACTTAGCTTTCGAACGTGAATTGGCGTACAAAGAATATGTCTGAGATACATTGAGAAAATATGCAAAATTATAAGACATTTACTGATTCGATCTGTACTAATTTATGCTACTTCATCAGCCAAGGCAGCAAATTGGTTCCTTGCTCATATAAAAGGACAGCACAGCTAGTGAAAAGCAAAAAAAACACACACACAAAAGTTCTGGTAAAAACTGAATAAATTGCAAGAAATTGTAAAATTAAGGCATGCAGAAAAACAACTAAACCAAGCTGGCTGCAAAACGACTATTGAAGCCAAAAACGCTTAAGAGCAGCAGATTTGGCTGAAGAGGGCCTGAAGATGCATGCTAATCAAAAGTGACTTACCTTGTCTAGGTTCCGGAGCAAAACAGAAGAAATAATAGCAGGAAATGGAATAAGATTAGCTGTGCGCCTCGCGACTGTGAACTATCAGCTGTTCATATTGATTGTAATGACGTGCAGTTCGATTCTTTGCGTGCATTTACAAAAGAGGGGGCTCCAACACCCCGGACGTACTCGACCGCTAGGCTGTGTCGGCACCACCACCTCTTTGCGTCTGCAACCAAGACCCACTATTTCCCTACTGTCTGCGGGCATGCTGGTACTGCCTTGTCGTGCCAGCGGGTTGCCGCGGCGTTACGTCAGGCATATGCCCGGTCATGTTGCCTATCCGTTATCCTGAAGCGGCGCAAAAAGGCATTTGCCGGGCATTTGCCGCGCTCCGAGCCAGTTGTCACGACTCGATGGGAGTTTACTACAGACCCCTATTTCTTGGCCTGTAATCCAGCTTTTCTTGGAGCATTTCGTGGCTTAGCTTGGTACTGCTGTCTTGCAAGAGAAGGTATACTGTAATAATGTCGCGAAGCCTCATTTAGCTTCCATCGATGCCTGAGCTCTGTGTGACCCACATGGCTAAGGCAATGTTATACGACGGCCTCGTTTATGTTATATCACCCCTGCAGAAGAGGGACAGACAAGAATGACGCGCAACAGAAACCTACTTTCACGCATGCAGTGCAAAATGTTACGCAATTTTTGGTTGCTGGCACGAAGCTTACATCGAAATGCATTTTACATTTCAAATATGTGGTTTTCCAGCTTATTTCTAACAAGAATAAAATCTTCTGTGATTTTGACATTGTTAAATTCGTTCTTGTATGCAGTGTCGCCGTCTTCTATAGCATGCTCTGCAACAGCGTCTACTAGCTGGGCGATGTTTCCGAATCTAAAACCTGAGCTACACGACCAGCTATGCGTCGCAGCTTACCGCCCTTCTGCATCGCATAAAACAGCAAATCAAGCAAAAAACATACGATTCTATGTGTTATCTCCGATCGTACCGTCGTAAGACCTAAGGCGTACTCACAGCGATTCCGTCAAATCGCTAAATCCGCGCGACTTGGGAAGTTTGCCAAAGTCTACACATTCACCGTGCGCGGTTGCTAACATAGCGCGTGGCTTCAGAGCATAAAGGCTCAAGTAAAACAAGCTTACGAGCAATCATGAAGAATCGTTGCGTGCAAGATTGCGCAGCGATCGAAATCGCGTGCGGTATGCCTTAAGTCTAAGGCGCTCGTGAAGTCCGGTCGCTCCTGTCACAGTCTAGCGTGGGGGTGTCAGCGTGTGGCTGGCTTCCGTCCCTGTTTTGAATTTTACTGCATCCTACTTATTGAACTCATGCCTTTCGAACAGGTACGCATATAGCTGTTGGTTGTTGAAACGACAGAGGCATATGGACATATGTTTCCAATAGAGAACACGAATCAAGTGGATTGGATTCAAAGTGATTGACTGAATATGGGCTACTCAAAAATCCTACTGAGGACACTGGTGACAACTTGGGTTTACGAACCACAAAAGCATGTACATTTTCTGAATGCCACTAAGATTTAGAGTACATTTCCAAAGTCTTTGAAGTTGTTAATGCGCGTGTAGTATAAAAGCGATGCTACTGACGTTTGCAATTTGACTGCCTGCACAGAACATTTTTAGCAAGCTAAAAATGTTGTATTCGGTAATCTTCTGGTGACTGCGCTTATGGAAGGTCTATCACCAGTAAAGATTAAATCATGACTTTTCTCTCATAATAGCAATATAAACGCACCCTTAAGTTCATCCGCTGCTTGATCCACACTCGTCCATACATTGAATGTTGGGAAACACGGTCCAAATTTGAGGCAACAATTTCACCAAATGAGTTCAGCGAACGTGCAAGACACTGTTTAACTAAAAAGACTGACAGCTTGAAAAAATAAATCATTGACTTTAGCTTGCATGTCTGTGGAAGGTTCAATCATGTGCGGTCCAAATTCTTACCCTTGCCATCTCAAATCGCTGAAAGCGGAAAAAGTACAGTCCCTATGCCTCCTAACCTTTTCACGGATATAGAAAATCTACAATCTTCTGATTCCTACATGTAAGTGAGACCTTGAAGATTAGATTAATGTAAGATAAGTTTAATTTGGAACGGTTTCCTTCTGCCTATCAGAACGTGTGATAACAGCGACCGGCACCATTGACGATGCGCCGCAGCGTAAGCGCAATTTTGGACCGTAACTTTACCACCAGGAGGATATCACTTTCAAATTGAGATGGTATGTAGAGCATAACTCGGAGAGTTGAAGTTTTGACCTAAACAAGAATAGTTAGAACTCAAGCAAATTGCAAAAATTCACGAAACGAGGCTAGTCAGAACTGCTCTTGCTTAATGATTTGGATCCAGACTATGATTCAAAATTCCAGATTCCAAAAAAATTACAGGAATAATGGTAAGAATGTCGGGCTTTGTATACATCATAATTTTGGGTCAATAAACGATTGTACCTAGTCTCTGTGCTACGTTACCTACTCGCATCCTGTTGGGCCGCAGCAACTTTTTGTTGGAAAAACATTTTTGTCCTATTGCAAGTGCTAACTGGCTACTTTCAAAATATTTGGCCACTACCACATTCCATAAGAAGTAAAGAATCCTCAAATCAACGTTGGAAACAAAAGAATTTCTCAAAAATCTTCACACTTCCCTCATATTTGTAAAGAGGGTTGCAAGATTAGAATGGGATGCACTGAATCTGCCGCCGTCTGAAATTGCAGAATTTTGTGGCCAGTTTTTGTGAAATGCTAGATATTATACACATCTTGTGATTTACGTAAGAATTCAGCAGAAGACTGTGGGAATCATGCCGGTTTTCTACCTGTATTTTGAGAAACAAAACTTTTTCCGCATCCTGTATTTGGACGCATCTATCGTAAAAACACTTCAATCAAACCCTGGAGCTACCTTAAGGCACTAACTCGTGGTGAGGTGTCAAATAAATTGTTTAGGCATAATTCCAGGGAAGAATCATGAGATTTCGAATTGATCAGTGCGCCCAAGTTGAGTGTCTGGCTATAGTTCGAATCTTGGCGTCTGATATTATGTGAGTCTGCCCACGACGTACGTCATTTCGAAGTAATTTAATATAAATTCTCCACACAACTTGTTCTGCTCCTAGGCGTGCTCAGAAGCGAATTACTTGAAAATGGAAACTGACGATTTACAAACGAGTGAGTCGCAGTATGCACGCGTAATTTGCACTGCACACTAGTTACAACTAGTTCTGCTTTACGCTCAGTTTAAGCCACTGATATTTAGCTCAACAGTGGCAGTGAAGTCGTTCATAGGATTGGAGATGTTAAGAAATGCAGTTGGCTTACACCCAAAATCAAACTCGCCTATATGCATTTTGGATCGGCTCATAAGCTTGTCAACGCAATCGGTTGAGTGAATTAAACCGAATGTTATCCCCACCCTATATTATTTGCTTCTGTCCTTTTAATTTCTTAATTTCACATTACACGTCAGTAGTGTAGAAATCGAAGGCGGAAGTCTTATCTTACTATCGGTGTTTTCTTACGCATTAATGAAAACGCGCTGATAAAATATCTTTTTTTGTGTTTCTGCGCCTACTCAGACTCTAAAAAAATGTCGGAAGAGAAGACTACCAGTCATCACGTTATATTGATTAAAAAAAAGACCTTCGGCAATTGCATAAATTGGTTCCGAAGTGCATTTCTTTTATCGGATCAGCCTGAAGTCGTAGACTTTGAAGAATTTCTGCCCGGCACAATGCCAACAAGTTTCATTCTCTACAACATTGCTGTATATTTTCTATCCTGATGCTTGAGAACAAAAGTAAATCCCAGTTGGATAATCCAAAATTCCTTCCTTTCTTTACAGAAAGCGAATATGCTATCCTATATATTCATTGTGCTACTTCTTACTTGCTCCTGTCTAGCCAATCGAAAGCAAGCAGTAGGTGTTAAAGGTCGTCTTATGTGCGATGATAAACCGGCAGCAAGAGTGAGCGTGAAGTTGTGGGAAGAAGATCACGGTAATGCGAAAGTAGTTTTTTTTGTTATGACAATATTACTACTGCTTTTAAGGAACAGACCGCGACGACCTGCTGGATCAGGCTGTGACTGATGACAATGGTAATTTTAAACTTCAGGTACAATGCGAATGCCATTATCAACTTTCTTATTAGAGACAGATCCTGCAAAATTCTTTTTAGGGCTACGACACCGAAGCAACGGATATTGAGCCGGTCTTCAAAATATACCATGACTGCGATAACGCAATACTGGTATATTTTTCGCTGATCTTACTATCTGCTTATTTATGAAAAAACTCAACTATGCACTTTTAGCCTGGGAAAAGAAAGGTGAAGTTTTTGATTCCCTATCAATACATCTACAACGGTACATCTCCTAAAAAGCTATTCGACATTGGGCTGTTGAATCTTGAAACAATATTCCCCAAAGAAGAGCGGAAGTTATTTTCTAGAGCAAGAGATAACAGCTATTATTATACTTTTTCTTTTATAATGTGTTTTTCAATAAAAGTTTGCTGTACGAACGTTTGGAAGATGTCAAGCATTAGTATGCTTATACGCTTTCTCGAAACGTATTAATGGTTGGATAACCTTTGAAAGTTCTTTGTACTGCGTTTGTCACGAATACTCACCCTAAAGAGCTGATGCTATTTTCAAAGTCTGGTTTTGCGACATGTAGTCGGAACATAGAGAGACTTACGCAGCTTATCAAATTTAGTAGGTAACTATTGTTAGAATGTGAAAGATGTGAAGCGATCATCATGTCGGGGACCTTAGAGGAACTGGAAGGAAAGAAATAACCAAAAAAGTTCGATCAACTCGACTTGTATTTGGTGCAAGTGCGTACATCGCTACACTCAATGGTTGGATTATCTAGAAATCACTACTCTCACTTGACACTCGTGGCATGTAGACATCGTATTATCTCATACTCTGTGCTTTAATCGTAAAACTGAGCACCCTTTGTCCCTTCTTTTATTTTGCTTCTTGCTGAAAAATTGCTTAATATCTTAATATGATGTATTTACTAACATTCTGAGAATCTGGAATAGACATTGAATTTCAATTGGTCCCGTATTCCTTTAGAATGAGTGAGCAAGCTATTGAGGTTAGCTGGTTTTAGCGAAATGCGTTATGCACCAGGACTGGCTAATGCTCAATGCCGTATGGCCCTACAACGATCGAATCCGTAGATCTTACCAGTACCGCAGTTGCACCAGATAGTATCCCTATAGATCCCTAGCACTGACAGAAGAGAAATCATTGATTAGATACACATTTGTTGCCTCACTTGCATATATTCTTATATTTCAAAGCAAAAATAAGCACAGTCTCAGTTAATTCATGAGCTTTGAGAATCTGAGATTTCATGCCGTTTTCTACTACAGTCTGTCCCATTTCGAGATCGAGCCGGGAATTTTCGAAAGGAAGTCTCCCTTGACTTTCGCCATATTCTACAAAGTCCCTTGACCTCAAACGCTAAACGTAAAAAAACCCTCAAAAAACGAAACGTCGATTAAGAAAACGTCTTTTTGGCCACAAAAACGGCCCCTTTGCTTTTTGTCCCAAAACGATATCCAGCTTGCCCCGTGCTAGCTGGTGCCAGGCCCTGCACGCGCTCTTTCGGATAGAGCGAAGAGACTAAAGAGAAAAGCAAAAGCTAGCCGCCGACATCGCTCAAAACCCTCTCGGCACGGATTTCCGCCATGTCATTTTTGGCCTGATTGAGATTGGCAGACTGTACAGACCAGACTTGGTGCACACAAAAAAAAATTGCGAACAGTCAAGGTTGTGCCAATGGGAGGATCTCCGGCACGACAACCCGGAACGGATAATCCATTGACTTCGGACCGATCGCGACAGACAGCGCGCAGTCGCACCTTTGCATGCGAGACGTGTTTATAGCGTCGTATCTGCGCCTGCTCCTTCCAGCTAAGAGTGCGTCAAAAATGATTTTCAAGTGGGAATGTTTGTTTTTATGCAAAAACAAGATGAGGACTAAAATGAGACAAGCTCTCTCTTTTCTCCTCCAACAAATCACCAAAAGCCAATTCGTCAAACCTTATGCAGTCTTGCTCAAGTTTTCAGGAATACGAAGGAATTTGTTGTGATGTCAACCACATATGAAATCAATAAGCTACTAGGATTGAAAATGCAAAATCTCAAAAACGCTACCTTTTAGAGAAAGGCGCATGAGGATGGCTTGTTTACTCTACTACTGAGTCTCTCTACAAAATCTGCAAAAACTTCACGTCTGCAATGTGTGAATCGGCAACTTGGTCGCTTCTTAGTGTAGTGTGATAAGCAATGAGTGAGAAAAAAAATTGACATGCATAAATTTTTTTGCAATACATTAATAACATGACCAATGGCTGCTGTTGTTCAGGGGTAGAAGAACGAACACCTCAATTGAACACTACCACCGCGGGCTGCTGGTCCTTTCGTCCTACTATTGTGCATTGTGTTAGGACCAATACTCCGCGGAGGCGGGACTTAATTGAAATGTTCGTTCCTCTATCTGTTCTGCCGATGTGTCTTGCACATCGGCAGAAATGAAGGACCTAGTTACGAAAAAAACGAAATAGCCTAGTAGAATGTAATATAAAGTGACGAGAGATTTGAGAATAATAATCAAACAATTTCCTTATTTTTATCGGCATAGAGATATTGCTACTAGAAAAGCGTAAATCTTCTACAAGCTACTTTTAGAACTGGACATTATTAGAAACCTTCTATCCAATTGAGAGACTGTGCATAGCTTATGTTTCTTCGTCTTGTACATTGTTCACAGATATGAATCCATATAAGAAGAAAAATGTCAGATGGATAGACTATGTTCAGCAAACATTTACGCTTTTCTCATAGTTCAAATGTTGCAAAGACATGATCAAACTCGACGCAAAGGGCTTAGCCTTCAAGCGGCAGAATTGGGTACTCGCCTTTCAATCCCCGCTCATATTCTTTCAGCTTACATCACCAGGACCAAGAGAAAGAGTTTCTGCTAGCACACAAAAGTTATTGTTGAGGAGAGATGGCTAGCATTCATTTTCGAGCATTCTCAGTTCTACTGGCGGTCCTTACTTCATATTGAAACTGAGAAAAGTTGATTTGGAATACCTTTAAACAGTTAATGATGCTGTGCAGTGACTTTCTTCCAAGTGAATTGACAAGCAACTCTATCGGTGAAACAATACACTCAAGCAAGAATGACCATTGTTATCAACAATATTTTGGTAATTGGGTTATATCTTAGCTTGATTGCCAACATTTGAATGTAACATTCAATCTCTTTCAAATATGCTCCTCTCCTAGTTTCGATGCAGTCTGATTGAACTGCTGTTTTTGAGCAATACATAGCGTATTTAACCATATTTGGAGGCCTCTATCATGTCTGAGACCTTAAAGACCAGAGATCTGGAGTAAGGCGTTCTCATTACCGGATGTTGCATGGTTTGGCCCATAACTTGGTTTTTCCTTAGATGGAATAGCATGTGTGGTTAGATATCGTTTTACGTAAATTTACTAAAGTGTCAAAATGAGCAGTGCAAAAGATAGAGATTGCAGTCCTTCTGGAGTATAATGTAGCTTTGTTCAGAAATGATGTATTGTGGTCTTCTTAATTCTTGAATGTAGTTTCTCATTTTTCTTCAAATGGTTTTATTTAGATTTATCTCAATACTAATTCGTTAGTTTATTCTCTTAGTTAGGAATAGCATGTGCGGTTAGTTATTGCTTTACGTAGTTTAGAAACAGGAACAGTGCAAAAAATAGAAATGACATGATGACGCGCTCTTGTACACCAAATACTTAGAAATGATTAGCAAATAGTTTTTATAAGAAAAAGAGGACTCATATAAAAGTGAGCAGATTTGCGTCAAGGAACTTGAAACTGCATACAGTAGCAAGAAATTTTCATGATGTTTAGCTATGTGAATATATGGAAATCTGACAATGAGAGGCACATTTTCTAATTGATGTCTGTGCGCATTTTGTGAAAAATTTATGGGAAAACTTTATACATAACAATTATACATAAGAATAAAATAAATGCATAGTTGCAAATCAAAGGAAACGTCGCTCTTCTTCAGCAAAAATCGTCTCTAGATTAAGAACACCAATGTGGAATAAACGCGTAGGTGTTTTGCCAGAGGCGATGTATTGGCTGGGAATCCGAAACCTTACTTTGCGCAGACCCGGCTGAATGAAAAAGCTACTTCAATGTTTTTGAGATGATGCGGAAAACTCAATTTACCAGTTGCTCATCGTTGCAGTCATGGTACACTTTGAAAACAGGATCAATGTTCGTTAGTTCACTTTCCGTCCTAAAAACGAATGGAATAAAAAAAGGTAATTTTGTTTTACAAAATCAGCCTTATGCGTTTACGACATGTCTTTAGATAAAACAATAAACTTTCACACCTGTAACTTGAACTCTCCTCCTTTGTCAGTGTAACCTTCATCAAGGAGATCATCAGGGTCTGGTCCTGTAAGCTCTACTATCATTTTTCAATCGTAATTTATAAGCCACGCCAAGTACCAATATCTTCCTCCCATAGTTTCACAGTAACGTTTACTGCTGGTTTATCGCCGCACATTAAGCGACCAAATACTCCGACTGCCTGATCGCGGATTGAAGCGCAAGAGCAGAGGGAAACCAGAGCAAGCAGCAAGATATGTTGCATTATTGAAACAGAAAGAACTCTGTAACAAAAAAAATGAATAAGCTTGAGATATTTTCAATCAGGTTTCTAAACTTCCAGTCTGGATCTGATAATCATGACAAAAGAGAGGGTAGCCCCAGCCAAGATATTTTGCTAGTGCTCAACGAGAGATGTTTTGGCATCAGATTATGTCAAAGTCTTTATACGAATGAGTCAGATTATGTCGAAGCTTTTATACGCATGATCGATCTGATAAGAGAAGAAATAAATTAGAAAAAAGCGCTTCCGCTACCCGTTTGTTCACTAAAGCACATTATGTGAGCGGAGTTTTTTCCTGCTTTTATCAATACTTTGAATGCAGAACAGATAAGATGTTTCAATGGTCGCTTTTTTAGTACCGCTATGATTCTATGTAAACATTAAATAATCAATTCATTCCGCACCTGCCCTACTTTTTCGGCGCATTACGAGATGAGCAATTAGCTTCACACGCTGACGACAGTGACCCACATGGTGGGTCATGTGGACCACCACGTGGTACAGAGTGAACATGGTAGGCCATGGCTCACTTTGTTATACAATCGCATCAGAAGATCTTACTTTCCAAATTTAGGAATACTTCTGCGTTTCTAGGCCGCTTCTTGAAATTACTGTAGATATGCGTAGATGGCGATTTGCATGATTTTAGCTAAACATCTGAGACTTCTTCGTGGAAGGCATTGTTCCACGAGGCCCACTACGATTGCTCATTGTCGTCAACGTGTTTATTAATAGGCCCCAGGTTGTCGCCAAAGCTCTAGTGTACTCAGGTGCGCTTACTTTCATGTAAGCGCAAAGCTCAAGCTGATTTAAATGCATAATTTGTCGCTATTTCCTCCATTTATCTATGCCGCTAGCGATTTCTTCATAGACAGATCAGACCGTTTGACGATTTCTTCATAAACAGATCAGACCGTTTGATAAGTTTCACACTGACAATTTTTTCATTTCCAAATTCTATTATGTGGTCGTCGAATTACTAATCAATAAAGCGCCCTACGAGATGGTTTTCGACATTTGCACAAGTTGGTATCCCGAGCGATCCAGTCGAAATATGAAGCTAGGCCCTCAAATTGAAAAATCATTCCATCCCACTTAAGAAGCCTATGTACATCTGCTTTATTTTTCCTGTAGCCAAATCAAGTTAACAAAGCTTAACTCCGAAAAAGGTTTGCATCGTCGAATGAAATGTTCGTCGGAGAACAAGAAAGTGAGACATGCTCAAAGCGTCGGCCTAGCAGATTTGTCGACATCTGAGAAAAAAGACAAACCTATACAAACCTGAGTACCTTTCCCAGTGTATAATCAGCGAAACAAAATCTAAAAGGTTCGAAGACTTTTGGTACGTGTAAAAGAAGTGTTGTTTTGACAAAGATGCTTTCTGAGTGTAGGAGCTAAAAAAGGAGAAAACAAAGAGGGATAGGCGAGAAAAGTGACCAGCAGATAGCTGCAAAGTGCCCAGGGCTATGAGTGAAGAAGAAAACCTGAGAAAAGCGCCACGCGAACTTTCAGAGCCTTCGCGCGAGGACGTTAGAACTGAGACGGCACCTAGACACTCTGCCTAAAAATCAATCAAATCATATCAACTTTAGCAAGATTTTCTATAAGCGGCAGCTTCATGAGTCGTTCGAAACTTTCATGAACAGTTGCTCTTCATTATACATGCAAATTCTTTTGGGATTTTTGATTGCAGGAAGATCTAACTGTAATAAAAAGCGAAAAAACAGTAAAAATGAGCAGCTATAATTATACTAGCAAGGGAAATGGTGTGTCAAATTGGCATTTTCATCTTATCATCTCGAAATCCAATTCGGCTACCATTCTGTCAAGTGGTAAGAGTGAAATTTCTATAAACGTTTGATCATGACAACTTTTTTTTTAGCTAGTATGAGTATGTTACAAAACTTGCACTGCTTTCGGTTGTAAAGTTATCGCCATTTAGAGATTTCAATCCAAATGATCTATGTTCAAATAATCCTCTTCCGTTTCCATCTCTAAAAGGGATGGCAAAGGCAGCGGATCCATCACGTTGCAAACTCTGCGGGGCGACAGCTGTCACAGTCGAACGCATCCTTGCGCATCGTGCATGTCGCCCGTGTGTCCGACGCGACGCATCCCTGACCGCCCTTTGCTCGGTCATACCTATCTGAGCAGAATCGTCGCAATTATTACTCAAAACAGCGAACTCTCGTCACTCATATGAAGTGAGCGACGGGCATCGTCAAGATTGGGATTTTTCTTTTCTCAAAAGTTTTGCAAATTCTTTATCATCTGAACTGTTACTTTATCTAGTTGTTCTAAAACTGCCGAATCTGTCAGAGTGCATTATTTTGCGTAACACGATTCTTGAGGCCCCAGTTCTTGACTGTTTGCAAAGTTTGAAACATTTTCGACATTTTCTCTGTTTTTTTTTGCGTTTTACTTTTTAAAGTGTACAGGATTTAGATTACTAACTTTTGTACTGAACCCATGTGATAATATTCATCCAGTTTCATGTAATGAGAACTGAAGACGCGTTATAAAGGTTTTGTGGGTGGAGGAACGAACACCTCAATTAGGCATCGCCTCCGCGGACTACTGGTCCCAACACGACGTATAATATTAGGTTGTCCGGAAATTAATGCCCGTTTTGAATTTCAGCTTCAATAAGTTATACACTTCTCTCTTCTAAATAGGTTACAAAGTACCATTCGATAGAGCAAAGCAAGCTCTACAAGATGGCCATCTTGCTTTTGCAATAGCTCTCATCCACCTCGAGTATCAAGGCAAAAAGTAAAAAGACTCAGCAGCCCGAAAAATCGAAAAAAAATCGCAACTCAGTTCATAAAAATCCTACAAAAATTCTAACTTGCTCACGTAAACACTATCCACATAAGACATCTATATACGCCTTTGCCGTATTTTTTCCTCTGTTAGAGATCAAGAAAACGGAAATTTTCGTGCATTTGCCAAAGTGATGCTGTGCCAACCCCACATAGGTAGTTGTATAGCACAAGCCTGTAGAAGTACAGACCTAAATTTTCAGCTCTCTACAAGCTTTAGTTCTCGAAAAATTTGAATTTTAGCTTGGAGCACTTAACTAGGGAAAGCTATGTTCGGTATTTCTCGAGAACTAAAGCTTGTAGAGAGCTGAAAATTTAGGTCTTTACTTCTACAGGCTCGTGCTATACAACTACCTATGTGGGGTTGGCACAGCATCACTTTGACAAATGCACGAAAATTTCCGTTTTCTTGATCTCTAACAGAGGAAAAAATACGGCAAAGGCATATATAGATGTCTTATGTGGATAGTGTTTACGTGAGCAAGTTAGAATTTTTGTAGGATTTTTATGAACTGAGTTGCGATTTTTTTTCGATTTTTCGGGCTGCTGAGTCTTTTTACTTTTTGCCTTGATACTCGAGGTGGATGAGAGCTGTTGCAAAAGCAAGATGGCCATCTTGTAGAACTTGCTTTGCTCTATCAAATGGTACTTTGCAATTTATTTAGAAGTGAGAAGTGTATGACTTATTGAGGTTGAAATTCAAAACGGGCATTAATTTCCGGACAACCTAATAGTAGGACGAAGGGACCAGCAGCCCGCAGAAACGGCGCCTGATTGAGGTGTTAGTACCTCCACCCAGGTTTTGTTATCCAAAGGGAATTAGAACAGATTTGCTCTTCATTCTCGCTCCAAAAATTAAAGCTTCTCGCTTACATCTGCTCGGTGTTAGCGGAGACAGAGAAAACTAGGAAACTTTCACTTCTTCAAATTCGTCAAAGATAGAATACAAGTCCAAGGTGTTATAGCAATATGTGTACGAAGTTCGAGGATGGGTATAATTGCTCGATTGTAAGATTGTACAATTGTTGCAAGGTATGCTTGCTGGGATGAAGGACTACATGCTTTGTAAAGGAAGTGCTAAGCATCATTCCAATCAGTTGCAGACAGCACCACCAGAAAATTGCTCTCTGTCTTCCTTTCGTTCCCGATGCGACTAGTGCCGCAGCGCTGCAGTGAATTAAATGTGCGGATTTGGAAGACGATGTCATATGATTGACATTGCACAGCATCAGGAAGCGGCTAGAACGTACCCTTTAATTCAAGAGGTTGGCGGCTGAAAGATGACCGCTCGCGCTCGTGACGCGGTTTGTGTCTCTCTCGCGAAAGTGCTCTCTGTTCATTCCCTAGCCTTTATTCAGTCACGAAGCCCCGCCTTTCAGCCGCCAGTCTGAATCAAAGGGTAATAGACCCTATGACACCTACTGCAGAGTCATAGGCTACTTTCTCCATCCGACAAAGTTGGTGACTGCGGTAAGGCTGGTATAATTCACGAGGATTTTGAATGCGACGCCATTTATATCGGAGAAACTGGTAGGTCGAGAACATCTTGCAGCAAGAGAAGGGGAAGTCTTACCATTCCTCGTAAACACACACACATATTTTTATGTTCACAATCTATACGGCCTTTCCACACTACTGATTAGATCCAGGAGGCTGCACTAATTTTATTCTGAATTCCGTCTAGTGTCTAGGATCAAAACGAAAACTGGATATTTGTAACTTTGCTACTTTGATTTCATTTTTGTTTTCATTGTACAGAGTTGTACGCGGTGGCAACGACTTCAAGATCAGATGTAATATACTGGCATACAAATACGACACTGCTGTAAGAAACTTTGGGGAGTTTTGTATTTATGCGAGAAGCTTATGCTTGGACACCAAATGAGTGTGTGCGTCAATTACAAATGACTCTACGCTTTTCGCAAGTGCGAAAGGCGTACAGTCATTTGTTTATGCAAGTTGCTGGACACTAGTAATAAGCCTAAATCTAGTATACAATTTTTTCCTTTATTGATACTAGTGGCATCAAGGACGGCTGCCCGAACATCCGCGTGCCGACGTGAAGGAGGTCAGTTTTTTAGGGGGGCAGCCGACATGAACGATAGGTTGTGCCAGCCATATGCGTTGCGTAGGTCAAATATTTTTTAGATTCTATATTTACACGATGATGATATCTAAAATTTTGGAAAAAACGCTGGGAGCTCGGTACCGCCTTGTTCTTACTGTTCGACACCATTTTCAACCCAGTGAAGAACATATCGCTTCATCAAAAAAGACTTTAGGCGCGGCATATTGACAACCGCATGAGCACAGTATGCTTATTGCCAGCTATCATTCATCTTGGCATACACCCGTTTTTTCACGTTTGAGATTTTTCTCGTAATAACCTGGGGTAAAATCGAGGCAGGTCAGAGATTGGTGCAGGATTTTGATGATTTTGAAACATAAAAATAAATCTTGTCGACAGTCGGGCTCTAAGGCTGCGTTCATGCTGATCCCAAAGCCCGGGAACAGTTCCAGCACAGCGCTTGAAATGAGCGCTGTGCTGAAACTGTTCCCCGATTTCGAAATCAGCTCAGACAATCGCATCGGGAAGTTCGCGGGCGCTTGCTGGACCACCAATCATCCATGCCGCGAGCTGCCCGGTATAAACCGATATTGGACCCGATAAGTGACCGCGGCGCACCCTGTAAGCGCCCGATAGTTGACCCGATTAGCATGCTTGTGAGGCCCAGGAAGAGTGAAAAATCTTTTGGCATGTCTTTCATGACAGCGACTTGAGCGCAAATTGAGCAACTTGTTAGTTCATCTGTCGGCATCATCTAGTGTCGTCGATAACACTCATCCGACTGCTGATTTATTTTATAAGCATGAAAACTCAACTCTGTCAGATGGGACCAAATCCGAGAAGTGATACCCACTCTCATAAACACTTAGGGTAGCCCCATCGCTGCGACGTACCTCACGCGGGTTGCGCCTTAATCTACAACGTGTAAGAAGTGCGGCCTTTAATAAGGCCCGCGGCCCGTCGAGTGAAGTGGTTGGGCCGCGACCCTCCCGGTAATCTTTTCCCAATTTCAACTTTGGCCGCGGCGTTACCGGTAAAATATACATGGGCCGCGGCGTGCGGGGCTGAAATTTCAAGGGCCGCGGCGCGCAATGTAATACGCTTTGAGGCCGCGAACTTTCCGATGCAATTGTCTGAGAGTATGAACGCAGCTAAAAATAAATCTTTCACCACCGAAGGCCTTTGAAGAGAACGACTTGTTCGAAACGTCAGGCCGTCACTAGTAAAGATCTACCAACCTCTGTCGGCTTACTCACCTAATTCTACATTATGCTAACAAAGTCAATGCCATCTTCAGTGCAATTTTTGTCGTTAAACAAAAACGGCCGATGGAACACCTCATATAAAGACTTTTGCTGCAATTGTAAGGACTTTGTAATTGTAGGGAATAATTGTAGGGACTTTCACTAACAGCTCAGAATCTTATATATAATGAATATCTGTTGGTATGTCTGTCTGTGTGTGTACGTATGTTCGGAATAAAAAATTCCATTTCTGAACCGATCCGGACCAAACTTTGCACACATACACTTCCGGGCCGGGCGGGTGTCATAGGCTACTTTTCGTCATCAATCGATATCGATTTTATTGATTTTTCAAAAAGCTCGAGCTACGGAACTGGGAGTTGGCACAGGGGGGTAAGTGAGCATGCTGATTACGAATATATTATTGACAGGGCCGGGCGGAGCCGGGTTTGCCAGCTAGTTTATTATAAATAGGGCAACGACCTCTATAGGTATGTGCGATAATGACGAGCATTTTTTTCAACTCATGTAGATATCAGCGCCAAGCTCGCCTTTTTAAACAAGACAATTTCTGTTTTTCCTGCAGCATCTTTCATAAAACTGTGGTACCAAGGGGAGAAAAGTGTTTGCAGCACATATTCATTTTTTGATCCAAGCATAGTTGGAAAAATAAATGTTATTCTCGTTGTCGATCCTTGAAGACATACGCATAAGATCTTGACTTCGCGACGAACGATGACGATCCATACTCCACCAAAGCAGCAAAGGCGAGAAGAATGTGTATATTGGAATAACCTGTAAACTTCAAAACGAGAACCTCAAGCAACCAGGTACGAGCGTTATTGTTGCTTTCATATACAAATTAGGCAAACCGTAGCAAATCGTACTCATAAGACTACGATAAGTTAGAGAAAACCGCAAAAAAACTTTCTCTTAGTTTTTGGCAGAAGTCAGCATTAGCGAAAGCCTCTGGTGAAATCACGGTAAGAGGGTAGTTCTTAAATCATGTGCGCATCATGCTATGATTCTTATCAATACATCGAATGTTTGTGATAAAATTTCATGATAAAAAGTCTTCATAGATGACGAATGCACTTTAACGATGATTCAACTCACGTATGCTCCTGCCAGATATGCTCTGAAATGCGATGGAGCGAAAACATTCTCAATAAAAGGTGCAAGTGCGACATTGGCCATGAAGAAGCTGAATGCCAGCGAATGAAGAATTATGAGCGGAAGAAGTAAAAGAAGGACAGTGAGGTTTTCCTTGGCTTGGTATTTGCATCGCATGTCGTACACTTTGCTGAAATGTGCACTACCGCATACCTGTTCACTGACAAGAGAGTGGTTAATAAAATGCCCAATCCTGACAAGCTACATACATTAAAGCATAGCAGTACACTAGATGTAAAATTTTCTATCATATCTGATTGGCTTCTTTGCAGATTTTAGGATGTTGACACAAAGTGAGCTTTTTCTTTTTGTTCACTTTGATGATTCCCATAATTATAGTGCGTCTCAAAACGTATCCCATTATAATGCTTTTTCTCTTCCTTTTTTATTCATGTTACGTTTCCAGCAACTCAGACACGGAATAAAAGCCGTACTATGTAGATATCAAGGTACAATTTCTTCGAAAATTCATGCAGGCCATATTGTATGCACTTCAAAATTCTAAAAATCATGTTCGATGAAGCTAGCTACCAGCAGCACCCATCTCAAAACCTTTGAAAATTTGAACACTGCTGCTACGCTTTACCATTTCTTAACAGATTGATGATGCGATAATGAACGAAGTCTCGTTCAGAAATAGTGATTATGGTCAAAGAAACTGCTTTTCCTTTTTCAAATATATATTAGGTAGTTCCATAAGTTCGTAGCGTTTTCATTTTCGTCGCCGTTTTCTGGTGAAGCAGTTGGTTTACGGCAAATTATCTGGCATTATTCGAAACAGCCAAGTTTTTTCTACAAAACCTGCTTGTTGTTTTTGGAGCAATCCTGATGATCTTTCGTTTATAATTTCTCAAAGCAAAGTTTTTTGAGTGGCAGAAAATGGCCATTTCGGTACCTGTGCTTTTCGCATTTCGTCCATATCCCACAAATATTTCTCTGTACGTATAGTCGCAGTAGCAAGCAGCAAGCAACGCTGATGTGTTGACACAATGGTATCCAGCCAATATGTAAGAACTGTTTGAACGAAGTCTCAAAAGTTGCTGTCTTCAACTGCTGCAGCCTCGAGTTTTAGCGTCGTCTCGTAACAGAATGTCCTCGTCATGCTATCAAGCCTTGACCGATGAACAGCTTTGTCTAGGTGATGCAAAAGTAATGCAACCGGTGGCTAGCGACTGCTGGCCACCGGTTGCATTCAAACGCTTTCCCGAAAAATTTTGGCTCAGAAAACTTCTTCGTTCCGGCCAAACGCAAAACATCTACACATACCGTAAAAGTGCGCTCTATCATTCTCTGTAGCGTCTCTCTTAATAAGGATTCTTGTTCTACGTACATCATAGTCCGGCAAACAATATTCTTCATCACTCATAACAATTTCGAATAGAAATTTTGCTCTCGCAATTTCCGTATATAGCGCCGAAGATGGAGATGCCGAAAGCGCCATTTTTTGCTACACAAAAAACTCTGCTTTGAGCAGTCACAAAACAAAGGTTATCAAGTTCACTCTGAAAATAAAACGCAATTTTTGTAGAGTAGAATTGCTCTTTCGGAGGGTACACACATTCTGCGGTAAACCTACCGCTTCACCAGAAAACGACAACAAAAATAAAAACGTTACGAACTTATGGAACGACCTAATAGATTGAAGATGGTTGTGCGATTAAAGATGGTTCATGCTTAAAGGAGGAGTCAAAAGCGTTTTTTGCGTTCAAAAAAATCCCTGATTCGAACGGAAATCAGTTAAAAGAGTTGTCTTTGAGGCCGCACTTACGCAATAACGAACCTAAGAATTCCGAAAGTTTCCAGCACAAAGTTTCATAAAGGACTTAAGTTACCCTAAATAAAACTTGTGCTTTGATTCACAACAAATCACTAAGCTTTTCAAAAAGACGAAGCGTGCTCATGACGACCATATGTTTCATGAACCTAGTTCCATGTGAATCGAAAATCTCTTCTTTTGAAACCTGGGCATGTACTGTGTATTAAGGTTGTTTAGAGAGTTCTGTCCGAATTTTGTGCTTGTGTCTGACGCAGCTATTTTTTTAAGGTTTTGCGCTTGTCTCAGCATTGCCTAGAGGCACTTTTCTTGCTATTCTCAATGCTGATTCCTAATGAAACATCTTTAGTGTTGAGATCGCAAGCTCAGAAGCCAAGTTGTCAAAATGCAGGCATGCCTATGGAAAAGCTTATAGAAAAGAAATCTCTCGAAAATGCTCGCAGAATTACCTATGTAAATTCTAATAGTGGGTGAAGGTATAACGGTCTACCACATGCACTTCTTACACCCATAAAGAAGATCTTAGTTCCCAAATTTGTCTTCAAAGATTTGAAAACTATTTTACACTACAAGCGAAACAATCTACACATAGTCACAAGCGATGTATTCAAATTTGCTTATGTTGATGTAAAGCGAAAGCAAACAGAAAATGTCACCCAGTCAGCTTTCTTCGTTCACAACAAGTAAGGAGAAAATATGAAATCAGAAACTTGGCATACTTTGCGCGCGCTGAGTAGGGCTCAGATAATGGTTTTGTAGCCAAATGTTGTGCAACCATATTTTAATGGCAGATGTTTATTGGTTGTTTCGACATGCTCGCCCTTTTCAACTGAAAATAAGTGGATCAGAGCTTAGCACAGGTGATTTACGCGGGCAGGATGAATATCGTTTTGAAGGTAAAAGGAAAAGAAATATCGTTTACGCACGCACGCTGAAAAGTTTGAAAAAAATTTCTTTGTACTTGAGCCAAGTAAAATTTTTTGACGAATCGACCAAGTCCATAACCATTGTTTCAACGACACACCCATTTCTCTTCCCTTTCTATCGAACGAAGGTCTCTTTTCCCCATAGTTTCTTTATTCAACAACATTCACCCGCTTTTCACCCGTTTTTGACTTTCCTCCAAAGTAGCCATCACGCCTACTCTGCAAAAGCAATAGTTTTGTGCTCCAATGTGTTCTCGCGAATAAGCATTGATATGGCATAGAGTTTGGTGCGTTGCGCAGTTGGAAGTTTTCACAATGCGTGGAAGTTTTCATACACGCTGTATCCCTGTAGCAATGCAATCTGCTGACCTACAATTGTGAAAGACTATTATTTCCAGTGTAGGAGCCTCGACGGTATTTGCTCATTTTGCTTGGGAAAATCTACAACTTTCGATGAGCAGCTACTAAGAAGATTGAGCTAACCCATACTAGGAAATTTTTCTCTACTCTATGAAAAGGCATAAAATTCCGCGAAAGTTACCAATCATAAAGATATGGCCCAACAGTCCTACGTAAAGGACCTATATAAAACCGTAGTTCTTCAATAAGATTGTCTTCTGACAAGATTTTGAAGATGTGATTCAATACGAATTGTAAACGTAACGTCATGATAAAGTCCTTTGTGATCTCTCCATACTGTTTCTTTCTGCGTCTGAAATGTTAGATAATGCATGGAACCTTGCACACCTTTGATTCGATGGTCTCTGAGGTCTCAGGCAGACCTGCTCGAGACCAGTCGCCGTGCTATTTAGTGAGTTGCCAGACGGTTTCTTCAAATCTTGCACTCACAAATGCGTAATCCACGTACGATAACTTATGCACAATGGAGTTTCTAGATCGCTTTTCGAATGGTTGAGTAAAGCTTAAGGCCTCGGGCAGAGTTCGCGCGATTTGATCGTCGCGATTGATTGCTGCAAGACAAGTGTTACGAGTTCATTGCATGCCGATCTTCTCGTATTTCGGTCGTGATAGTCAGTCGCGATTAGTCGTGTTGGGAAACTATCACAACCGAAATGCGAGAAGATCGGCATGCAATGATATTGCTACAGTTTTCATGTCGCGATCAATCGCGACGATCAAATCGTGTGAACTCTACCTGGGGCCTATGGCAGACCTCATGCGTTGGTCGCTGCCCGATCATTGCAGTCCTTCATGAGTGCTCGTAAACGCGCTTTTTGGACAAAACAGTAAATTACAACTCACAGAAGCTGCGTGCCTTGCATATGAAAACAGCGCACGGTAAAGGACATTTGGGAGATTTGGGAGAGATTACCAAGCTGCGTAGGTTCAATCGAATCGCAGAGGCATGTCTTAGACTTAACAAGAGGAAGATACTGGGTATCCGTGGCTATTCATAGTGGAACTCATATCTTTCGATGCGTGTTAAAACGCTGATTTCAAATCTGGTTTCGGTATCTTCTAGGGGGTTGTTTGTATTAAGTTATGACTTCTTTCACAGCACTTTAGTTGAGCAAAACTATAAACATCCTCAGATATCTTTTTGGAGCAACACTTGAAGAAGAGCGCATTTATACTTGCCTTGGATAACATGTCTCAATAGCGTTCATCCTTGAAACTCATAAATTAGGGATACACTGTGCTTCAGCGTGCAAAAATTTTGGGAAATGAAGCCCTGCCTTACTTTAGGCAACCTTTTCAAGATAATGAAAGCAGATTTATAGTGAGCGTTTTGAAACGCATCCAGTGATTTGTGTTCCATTACGAATGGCCACGACTACCAAATATTCCTCCATTGTAAGGCATGCCCGGGAACTGAACACTGCTTTGACCGAGCTGAAGTGCAGAATGGTGTGGCTGTTTACCAATCGATTGATAACACAAAAAGCAGCTAGTTAGGAAAAGACTCACGATTACTGAGCATAATAGAGCAGTACATTAGCGAAATATAGAAAACTGTGCAAAGGCATGTGATATATCTTGGAGCCCTAACTAAAACACTGTTCAAGCGGCAACTCAAACAGGGCCTGGCACAGATCGTCTGGAAGCAGGCTGGACTTCGTTTTTGAAGCAAACAGCAAAAGGGATATCGTTTTCGACTAGTTGGAACCAAGCACCAAGAATAAGCGCCATTTAATCGAAACAAGCTTTTCGGACAGGTTATCACACGATTGACATGTTCTATCATGCATGGCGAAAAGTGCGCGCGATTTGAAAGCAAGGCAAAAAAAACAAATTGCTTGTTTGCACCGCACACAAAAGCATATGACACCAAAATTGAACTATATGTACAGAAAATTATTTGCGAAAGGATTATGTTAAAAGATTCGAAAACTTATGTGAAATAATACCTTCCCCAAAATTAGATCGCCTCCAGACGGCCACCAGACGATCTGAGAGTCTGGAGCATATATTTTTGTCACTTCACAAAAGCTTCGGATCCTTTTAGCATGCACGGATTCTCCGGTCAAAAATCTATCCCTGAGCTTGAAGACATTTTCATATCATTGCCTTTCCTTTGTTTTTTGCCTTCATTTCTTCTCGCTTTGTTAAATATCGCGCTCTAATGCCAAAGTCTTGTGCCTGCGTAATATTCAGCTTCAATTTGGATTTTCACTCTTATCTTACGTCTTTTCTTTCAGACTAGTAAATCTTTCTTGTTTTCATCTTCTCCTAAACAGGTAGTTTAAAGGGGAATTCGTAAAACTTCCGAAAGTCAGGGGAGACTTCGTTTTCAGAAACCCTAGAAACCGACTCGTGCCGGGCCCTGAACTCAAATGATGAGCTCACAGTTGAGATATTCGCCTCCAAACTGAGCCCCGGGATAATATTCGCATGGATTCACGGCGCGGCACATCAGTTTCTCGCAGGGTCCACGCGGTCGTGCCATGGATCCATGCGAATACGATCCCGGGGTCCAGTTTGGAGGAGAGTATCTCAACTGTGAGTCCATCATTTGAGCTGCCACTTGAGCAGTGCCTTAATTAGGCCCCCAAAATTACTTTCCACATCAGAACCCCGTAGGTCCAGATTTGCCTAGACGCTGCCTTTAGGGGGTGAGGGTTCTTTTGATTTGAGCCGGATTGACGGCAGTAACCTACTTATACAGGGTGTCCCAAAAGTATGTATGCACTATTTGATCATTGATTAATTTTTTGCCAAAAAATTTTTTGTCTACTCTTAGGCACCACTTTGTAGAGTTGGCTTCAGTTTAGATTTACAGTGCAAAGCGAACCATTGATCACTCTTCATTACTGTGAGATAATGGTAGGGACATTTGGCTTACACTGTCATTGTAGTTTAGTCGTGGTTTGGAAGAAGTTTACAAAAATTTTGAAAAGTAGGATATCAGAGAATTTACACGCGCTGATTTTATTGCTCAAAGTTTCTAGAGTTTGTAAAGCTTGCAAATGGAGCCGGAACGCAGAAACGAACTTCTGGTAGAATTTGACACTATTTTGATGGCAGACGACAGAATATGAAGCAAAAAGACTCGGTTGCGAAATCAACACACACGCCTTAGCGTCAAAAAGGAAGGAGTGTTTCGGTTCTTTCGGGGTTTTGGGCTTTTTCAGTATTTTTGGGCTTTTCGGGCTTTTTTCGGCGAAGTATGACGGGTCCCTAAGGGTTTCCAGATTGTTTGGCTTGCTTTCTGAGACGAAATAAAAACGCTTGGCTATTTGTCTTCTTTGTTTATATGTATGATTGGTCAACGTCTGAGCAAAAATTTCACATGTTCTTCGAAGTCCTCAAAGGCAGCGTACACCCAAAATCTAAGTTACCGAATTTCCTATATATTTCTTTACCGTGTATATACTGGGCCCAGAAGAAGACCAACTGCGTTGGTCCGGTCTCCCAATGTTGCTTCTGAGCGGAGAAAACCCCCTCAATTTTCTTTCACATCGCCCCTTTTCTTTCACTCCGCCTCCTCCGGACGCCACGACAGCGTAAGCTTCAGTTGCCGTTGCAGTTGCTGTTGCAATGCTGTTGCATCTGCAACTGCAGTTGCAACAGTGCAGTTGCTTTTAGCGGTGCGCCTCCTTCGGGCGACGAACCACGACAGCATATGCAGCAGTTGCAGTTGCAACTGCAGACTGTCATGCTGTTGCGCTGGCATGCCGACGGGTCGAGCAGTTCGAAACTCGTCCGCCCCTGAAGAGAGGGTCCCCGGAAATCGGGGTTTTTGGGGACTTTTGGAGGATTTCAATGACATAACTGTAATCAGCGGCACGGAAAGGCCCCACAATGACAAAAACATCGAAGGTGAAATTTTGGGTGCACGCTGCTTTTAATCGCCGAAGCGCTGACTTTGAAGTACTGACTTTTGAAAGCACAAATTATAAAGGCCCTGGGAACACCTCACGCGATTTCATTTGCGACGCGATTTGGCAATACTTCAATCGTTCATAACTCATCGTAAAGAATTTTTGAATATACGGAGGATAGAGCATTTTATCAACCTTCAAAAGCTATATCATCGAGTCATTTGTAACTTAAATATGCGTACTGCATACTGCACACGCTAATTGACGAACTGCGAAATTAGAACCTGCTTATTTCCAGTGATTTCTCCTTGTTTCCTTGTTTCTTTTGTATTAGTTGGTTATATCTCTATCATTAGAACACATTTCTGCATTTTGTTAGGCTAGAAGACGTTTTACTGAAAAGTTAATATATGGCTGCCGTCGCTAATAGGGCTTAGTGTGCAATCTCATATATTAAGTTACAAATGACTCGAGGTTATATGATGTGCATTTGGGGCCTGCCAGTAGTGAATATGAAGACTTCTGGCAAATTTGCAGACCGCGTGGCCATTGTCGCGTGAGGTATTCTCACGGCCAAGGATAGGCCCTCCGTCTGTAATAAACTCAGTTGCTGCAGAATTAATCCATCCCGTATGGTGAATAAAAAACTCAAATCAGTGTATCTCCTCACCTCTGTTTCAGATTGAGCCGGTAAACACAGCAAAACGATGCGATGATCACTATCTCCAAAAACAGGACACAACAGCTGTACACAAAAACTTCAGGCATTGTCTGGGTTGTTGCAACCTTACAATACGACATTTCTCCGGTCATAGGATAGTCTTTGAAAGTATATATTGTGAGTCCAATTGCAATAGAAACCTAAAATCAATATCAACTCTGATATTTTTACTTAGTAAACAATTGTTCTCTACCGACATGACGGCGAGTATATAGCCAAGTGAAGATTTTTGAGATTCGTACGTTTTTGTACATTTCAGCGCTACTGCTCTTTCTGTCACTATGGATAAGTGAACAAGAGCTTGAGCAGCAACACACATCAATGCTGGCATTCGCATGGAGTAGCAGAATTTCGTGGGTACTAAGATGCTACATCTGTCTTCCAAAAAGTGGTTTTGAAATAAATGGAGTCCCTGAAAAGGCATATAATCACTGTTACTCACTACTTCTAGTATTTACCTCAAGCACACCGAGAAAGAGTGAGTGAAGAATGTTAAGCACAACTGTTGTCCAAACCAGAATCTGAAAATAGCGAAGGAATTCTTGGAAAACTCATGAACAGCTTATGAACCTTGCATAAAAAAGACCACTGAGCATTGTCATTGCATAAAGTGCTCCAGCAATCACCATCCTTATTTATGCTCACAGAGCACAATCCGTAATATTTCTATAGCCGCGCTTACAGATTTCTGTCCCATGAATTTTTTGGAAACGCCTTTCAGATATACGAAAGACAGATATGGAATCAGCCGTCCAAAACGGTGCTGTTTGTGTGTGTGTGTGTCTATGAGTCGGTACGTATGTTCCGAATAGAAATTTTTATCTCAAAATTGATCCGGACAAAACTTGGCACACATACAATTCGGGGCGGGGCGGGTGTCGTAGGCTACCTTTCGTTATTGATCGATATCGATTTTATCGAATTTTATTTTTTTGTCAAGTTCGACCTCTGGGTTGGGGGCTGGCACAAGGGGTAATTGAGCATGCTGATTACGAATATAGCGGGAGTAGGGAGTTGGCATGTAGAAATGGCCACAGGGAAAGATTGCGCAGGGATAGGGATGGGACCTTTATCATAGTGTATTGACAGGGCCTGGCGAAGCCGGGTAAGCCAGCTAGTATTTTGTATACAAAGGCCAGTAAGGTTATGTATCCTTCTGGTCAAAAAGTTTCAGACGTTATATCTCATTTGTGCAACACCGCCTTTGATTATGAGAGGCGGTGTTGCACATATCATCGTCACTGATCGAAGAAAGGCGGAGCTGTTAGGCTAGAAAGGAAATCTTGGGCACTTTCAGAAATTCAAACGTCGTACTTCCGCTGGCGCAATATTCAGCGAAATCTTTTACGCAATTTTGTGGCAAAAAGACTTCTAGGGCCGTAGTAATCCCTCCAAATTCGTCATAGCGTAAAGAAGGCGTGATCGTTACCGCCCAAAACTGGTCATGGCTTGAGCATCACGCTGCGTTAACCGCCCGCCGCAAAACGTCCTGCAAATTAATCGACTCGTAAGAAGCGGAGACATGAGCAGCGCATGCAGCTACTGCGCTATAGACAGTGTTTCGGTCAGGAGTCTTAGAAAAAGAAAGGAGCATAAGATAGATAGATAGGTAGGCCCTCAAGCCTATACGTTGAAATTAGTAAGCAGTCTTTTTTCTGCAAGGCCTTGCTTTGTATATAATCATCACACTTTGTGATTGTAACTCTATAACTGGGATATTCGAGAAGGTACGCCAAACTCAGATAAGTGTCAGAGTCGCATGGTCGTGAGTGAGGCATCAGGGCCACAAGTCGCAAGTACAGCAATTTCTTTTGTAAAGCGATTAGAGACAACACTTTCTCGCAGTGTTTGTATTTCAATGAATACGAAGTATTGGGGCCCTTGGAGTAAAATTAATGTGCAAACAATGCTTATAATGATTTGATTTGCGCCGATGTGTGCTAATTCATTAGACACTGCATCAAATGGTTTCCTTACTCAAATAAAAGGAAGACAAGTGCTGCACAACCAATGAACCGCAGAAAATAAACGAAAAGTTTGGAAGAACACCATAAATCTTAAGAAATTTCATAAAGTATGAGGAGAAAAGTGAGCAAATTAACACCAAAGCTAAAAACCGTTCAAAAACGAAAAGCTGGCTCAAGAATTATGAATGTTTGTTGATTGAAATCAACTTACCTTATCTTTTTTGAAGCAAATAAGAAAAGAAATGACAGCAGGAAAAAGGAATGGCTGTGCGCTTTGCGATTGCCCGCTTTCAGCTGTTAATATCGATTTTGCGGTCCAACCCTTTGCGTGCATCTACGGACCGGCCGTCGGCATCACCACTCCGGACCTACTCGACCGCTAGTCATATGTCGGCACTACGACCTAACTGCGTCTCCATTCAAGACCCTTCATTTCGACTGCCTTCATGATGGACACGCTGGTGCTGTCTAGTCACGCCGACCGCGGTGCCTCGGCGTTACGCCGGAAAATGCCTCCGTCAATTCGCTTATCTCTTATCATGACGCGGCAGCAAAATGGCAGCATGAGAGCATTTCCCGCGCTGCGATTCAAGGGAGTTTACTACAGACCCTAATGTCTTTTTTTGCTGTGTAGAAGCCGAGTTTCGTACGAGAAAAAAGTAGATACTCGCAACAAAAGAGAATGTCAATGTTTTATCAATTCCAGTCTCTTTGCGTTTGCAGAGGAAAACCCTTAAACTTCACATGAACTATCCAGAACCCGGGACGAGATCGAAAAGAAGAGTTCTTGGAACCAAGCCCCCCATCAAATTCAGAAAGGTTTTACGAAGTCACGTTTGGAAATTTCAAAACCCTCACTGCTTTCTATCTGACTCTTTCAAAAGTTCCATTCCATGGCAATTGTACTCGATTCGGGAAAGCGGACAAGCCAGAGCCCCCAACAATTTCCTGATTTTCAGAAGTATGCCGTAATAAAGCATACTTGGCGATAGACAAACTCAAAATGAAAATTTTACGAAGTTAGTTTGATACTTCTCTGCACTTTAGCATGTTAATATTGTATTTTAGTTGTTTGAAAAAAAAAACTAATTACAATAATCACTAAGCAATAATCATATGATGCAAGCCATAAAACCGTCTCTTTGTGGGGGGAAGAGCTGTGCTTCAGAAATTATGTCATTTCGCAGTTGCAAATGTTGCGCAAGTCTCAGTCAATTGGGTAAAACGCCTGCCTCATTTTTAAATCTTCCCATATCCAGTGAAATACCGTAATTATCGGTAAACAGCATTTTGTAAAGCTTAAAAAATCGTGTTAGAAATATCACAGCCATTCAGCAAGATCACCTAATTGGCGTCTCAGCACGCGCATCGTGCTTTAGTTTTGCTGCACTTATTGTTAGATAATATTCTTTTTTGTATCTAGGGTGCCTTCATACCGCGCCGCTAGCCGTCTTTGGCCGCTTTTGCGCACTATCCCAGTTTTCCAAGGCCTTCAAAAAAAGTTAAAAGATTATGCTATTTGTAAAAAACCTGTCGAGTAACTCCATTACACCAAGTTTGAGCAAGATTTGTGTTTTCGATATTGGGATCTATATAATGAAATAGTGCTCAAAGGCGGCTAACGGCGGCTGCCGACGCGGTATGAAGGCAGCCTTATTGAGACTCACTCGAGAATTTCTGTGGAAAAACAGATTATGTTCCCAATGTCGTACAAAGCATGCGTTAGCAATAATTCCTCCCACGGAGGTGAAAACGTGGATTGCCATTATGATATTCAGTGGGGCGTTCGCTTTGAAATCCAGTGCCTCAGAGCATGTGTCACTCATGGTTTTCCAGCCCTAGAACTCGGTTATTATAGCAGGGCAAATGGACTGTGCAATGTTCAAAAACAGATATGTTGAAGGAATGTGTTTAGAAAATTTTGTGGGTATCCCATGCTCTTGACAGCTAAACACAAACCAAGATTCGAAAGCTTCTAACAAGGGAAGCTTGTTTAGTCGAAGTGGACTTTTCAAATGAGATGTATACCATATTGAAGGGCATAAAACGCTGACTTCAAATCCGCCTTCCCTATCTGCAGAGCATTTATGCACGAGAAGTTATGAGCCTTTTTTTGAAGCCAAAAATTGTACGTGCATTTTGGATAAATTGAGTTGCCTAAAACCTTACTAGCCCTCAAGTAATGCAACCAAGTGTGATATATTTTTTATTTAAGAGTGTTTTTATAAATCAAGTGCTCTGATGATTACTACTGCTCCATTACAGAGCTAGAAAAAGTATTACGGATATTTCTGTCCTACTTGCGCATTTAATTTTTTGCCCCAATAAGCGCTCGTAACTCCTCGTCCATAAACGCTCTGCAGATAAAAAAAGGCAAATTCGAAATCAGCGGTTTATGTCGTTTAATATGATGTACGTACCATTTAAAATGGCCACTTCGACTAAACATGCATACGTTGTAAGATAAATAGGAGTCACCAAGAGCATGCGATGAACGCTCGTTTTCGAGAGGGCTGCTAAATCGGGCTACACAAGCCTAGAAATCTTTGTGGGAGTCACTACACAGATCCAAGGAAGGTTGAAGTAACCGGCAAAAACTTTCTGTATCAAAAAGTATTGCGGAGTTACGCTCTCTTCTGACAAGGGAAGTAAGGTTGGTCGAAGTGGCCTTTTGAAATGAGAAGTACACTGCCTTGTAAAGCTTCGAACGCTAATTTGAATCTACCTTTGCTAGTTGCTGCGGGCTTGTGGGCGAGGAGTTATGAAGGTTTTTGTGAGTAAAAATCTGAATGCAAAAATAGGGTAAAATCAATCATAACCTTTTCCCAATGTTTAAATGAGGCAGCAGCGAGTTGGTATATTTCAATCAAGAATATTTGTTGCACCGAGTGACCCGACTACCAATTAAGCCCTATAAAAGATGTTACGACTAATTTTAGCCTACTCTTGCATTCAGATTTTTACTCACAAAAACATCCATAACTTCTCGCCCAGAAGCCCGCAGCAGGTATTGCAGATTTGGAATCAGCGTTCCAAGCTCTACAAGGCAGTATACATCTCATTTCAAAAGGCCACTTCGACCAATCTTCCTTTCCTTGTGAGAACGATCAGCTAACGCGGGTTGCTCGTTACAGAAATTCGTCATTTACGCGCATTACCAGAAGCACAGCTAAAAAAGAACATCTCTGCCAAATGGACAGAAGAGTGCGAAGCATTCAAACCTGCTAAAGAAGTTCTTGCTTTTAACCTGCTTCTAACACTTTGATCTCGGTCTGGGAATATCGTATGCTGATGCTTTAGATTACGGAACTGGTTGAAGCAGTAATCCGCATAGAATTTCCTTCTGAAATACAAAAAGCAATTTGTCACGCAAGTCCTCTCAGCGTTGGCGAAAGAAACCACGCACAGTCGAGAAGGAAGGGCTAGCTCTGATATGATTCGCAAGTGCCATCGCTACATAGGCCTATTTAGACTGCTGACGGATCACAATTTATTATTACATTCTTCGAACCAAGTATAGGCCCATAAACCTGAACCTGCTAGCTTACGATTTCGCCCTCGAATATCAAAATACGACTGATTTTATGCATTCCTGCGAATTTCAAAAGGAAGATATGATATTAGCGAAAATAGAAGAACAGACTTGTACCGTATAAAGGCTGCTGTGAGAGCGCTACCCTTGACAAGAAGTGAGATTAAAAGAGTCTTAAAAGAACGAAGTTATTTCGCAGATTCTAGAACTGCGCAAGGAGGGAGCATGACCGCTAAAACCAAGAGGCGAAGTTGGCTAGTGGAAAGCCCTTAGCGAGAATTTTTTCAGTGCAAAATGAATGTCTATACTTTGGTCATATGATAAGTTATTCTGACTGCTTTTTGACAGGCTGTCTTTGAGCGGTTACATGAGGGGCGCAAGTTACTTGTACTATAAGGATGTCTATAGCGGCGGAAATGTGCGCCGAAACACAGTCGCAATGAAAAATACTGATATTAGCTAAAAAAGAATAATTTAGACTAAAAAGGGAAATTTGCAAAAAACGCAACAGGGACAGGTACTTATGAGACTTATACCCGGGACCTTGTCTCTGAAAGCCATCTGCTCCCCCACTGCACTATCAACAATTCTGTCAATGACGCAATTCGTATTCGATTCAATTGCAGACAGAACCAAAATCTGTAGATCCAGGTTATCAGTGCCCCGAATTCACCATAATGTATATCTCCAAACGCCGCTGCAACTTGTATCCTTCCCTTGTCAGACAATGGAAGTCAATTTTCAGCGAAAGATTTTTCGAGATTTCTCAAGAACCATGGGATCACCGTTCTCCACCATTGTATCCGCATGAAGTAGTCTACCACAGAGTTTCGTGTACATTTTAAAAAGAAAGCAGAAGTTGGAGGAAGAGGAGATGTCAAAAAACTCAGCAAAGTTTTCATAATTATCGAAGGACCTCAAACACTTGGTTATCTGAAATTTCTATCCTGCCGAAATATTCTTAGGCCGACAAGTCAGAACAAGACTCACTGCCAACTAAATTTGCAACGAAAGTAAGTAGAGAAGCAGTTCATTCGCCACCATGGAGTAAGGTCCAAATTATGTGATACGAATGATATGGGCTAGACATTACCACAAGAACGTTCTATTGCGGCTGTAGTGAGGAACCGCTTGAGAAGAGTCGATATGGAACTGAAGACAACCTTTGTTGGAGAAGACACGTCAATCTGATGACCAGAAACGATGTCAAGTACCCGAGCAGGCAACAAAGAGATCAGTCAAAGTTGAGAAGCGGAAGCAACCACTATTGTGTCAAGAAATGCATCAACCAGTTCGCAAACCAGCTCTGCTGTAACCGCTCCAAGACATCATTATCATTCAAAACATCAGTTCGACACCGAAATTGAATATGAAGACATAAAATCGTTTTTTGTTCTAAGATGGATGTAGCAGAGAATGATTTGGTAATCATAATAATTTTGGATACATTTATATATTGCTAACAGTATGGTACCTCTCTCTGTCCTCTCGCTGGATGCCGTTTAAGGCCAACAACTACAGATCATTTATAGAATCGTGTCGACGGTTTTTCTGCGTTCTGTGCGCCCATACATGAAATTATGAAACACTCATACAAAGGCATCACGTCAACGCTTACCTCAGTCATTTACAGCGCGTAAATTCTAGAGTATGTAAGCAGAAAAACCATTTTAGTGAGACGAAATTCAAGAAAATGCGGTTGCCGAAAGTGCGTGCGTGTCGCGCGCGGTCGCGCCACCATCACGATTTTTCGAATGTCTTGTACGGTGCCTTTATATGTACCATTTAAGTGGAGTGTATTTACACATCAACCTGTCTTTAGCTTGCGAAAACACTGACGCCAGAGGACACAGCTTTACAAGAGTGATTGTCACGGATAGAGCTTGCCGTACGGTAAGTTGAGGACGATCACGAGGAATACACAAGGCGTACCTACCCCTTGTAAAGACGGTAGCATGCAACTTCCGTTTGCTGCCAACCTGCCACATTAAGGGAAGGTACGCGTGATAATAATTGTCGGCTATCGCCTTTTTTACTCCCTGTGTGTCTTGGGCTGCATTTTCGTAATGATCTGAAAGTACGGGAACAGTTCCAGCACAAAGCGTCTGTGGCAATCAGCAAGGTGCAATGTGATGCGCGCGGACCGTGCTATGCTTTAAAGCACTTCGTATGCGACAATAGGTTATTGCGCGCCTACCAGCCCGCTTAGGCCTAAGGCATACCTCACGCGATTCCAGTCGCTGCGCGATTTGTCACTAGAACAACTGTTCATAATTGGTCGTCGGAGCGCTTTGTTAAGGAATGACTTGATCAGTTCGCAACAAATTACAAAAGCTACGCATCCATGTATTGGAGAACCGCGCACGACAAATCTGGAAACATCTGGCAAACTGCCAGGTCGCGTGAACGTCGCGATTTGGCCGAATCGCGCGAGGTATGCCTTAGGCCTTACGATCCCGGGTGAACAGCCTATATGTGAATAAAAGATGTGGCGAACCTTTCGCTAATGGTTTCTTACCACTGACTATTGAATGGATGACTCGTCTGCAACGTACGATATACGGCAACGAATGTGATTTGCATGCCTGTAAATTGGAATAGAAGCAAAGAAAGGGTTGTTTTGCAACCTAAGCGAATAAAAAACGTGGCAATTTCAAAATAGCCTTTTCTGATTAACTTGCAGTGCACCACACTAACTTGGTAAAAGTGAACATTTCAATTTGATGTGATAGGTATCTCTTGAATGAAAACCGAGCAAGTGCAGACGCATATACTGCCTCTGCCAAAATGCCCTCATTTGCGCGCGCGAGCTGGTTTTGTTTGGAACAGGTCAACGTTAGAGGTGCACGCCGCAATGTTAACCGTATGGGTGCTGCAAGGACTCTTGTCCTGACTTGGCAAGAAGAATCCTCTTGTCCGGTTTCAAGATAGAAGGCACTGAATAATTTTTATTTTTCACGAATTTTTGGGACTAGCGGTGGATAGCCTGAAATATAAGCGAAAGTTTTCTAGCCTAAGTTTTGCCGAGCCACTGATTAGACGAAATATCGATGTCGAAGTAATTCAAGGTTTTTCAGTTATTGTATCCGTGTCCACCGTTGCAGTACATTACATCCAGTTTCTAGCATTTGTTACTTCGACTCACAAAACGTCATCTATCCAACTACATATGTGCACAGTTCAGCTGCGGGTCCAAGAAAAAGAAATAAGGAGAAGATTTGAAAAGGAGGAAGTTTCATTCGTTATTCAGCATTTTTTAGGCTGGCAGAGGGGTCCCTCGTGTATACCGAAGCC